GCGCAAAAACTGGACACAGCACTCCAGATGTGGCCTCACCAGTGCCAAATAGAAGAGAATAATCACTTCCCTCAATCTGCTGACAACAATCCTACTAATTCAGTATACTTCTTGGCAACAAGGTCACATTGTTGGCTCATATCCAGCTTATTTGTCCACTGTAACCCCCAGGTCCTTTTGTGCGGAGGTGCTGCTTAGCCAGTCAGTCCCCATCCTGTACGGTGCATGGGATTGTTCCATCCAAAGTGCAGCACATTGCATTTCTCCATATTGAACCTCAGGAGATTTATTTTGGTTTAATCCTCCAATTTGTCTAGATCTGTCTGAATCCTAGCCCTATCCTCCAGCGTATCTTCTACTCTGCACAGCTTGGTGTCATCCGTGAATTTGCAAAGGGTGCGCTCCATCCCATCTTCCAGGTCATTGATGACAACACTGAACAAAACCAGGCCCAGGATTGACCCCTGGAGCACTCCATTTGACACCAGCTGCCAACTAGTAATCAAGCCTTTGACTACTACCTTCTGAGCCTGACAATCTAGCCAGTTTTCTATCCACCTTACAGTCCATTCATCCAGCCTATACTTCCTTTGCTTGCTTGCAAGAATGTTGTGGGAGACCATAACAAGAGCCTTGCTAAAGTCAAAGTATATCCTCTCTACTGCTCTTTCCACATCCATAGAATCAGGTTGGTCAAGCATGTCTTGTCCTTGGTGAATCCATGCCGACTGTTCCTGATCAGTTACTTCTCCTCTAAGTGCTTAGAAATGGATTCCTTGAGGACCTGCTCCATGATTTTCCCAGGGACTGAGGTGAGGCTGACCAGTCTGTAGTTCCCTGGATCCTCCTTCTTCCCTTTCTTAAAGAGGGGCACTATATTTGCCCTTTTTCAATCATCAAGGATTGCTCCTGATCACCAGAAGTTTTTAAAGATAATGGCCAGCAGCTCTGCAATCACATCAGCCAACTCCCTCAACCAAAGATGATCCCAGCAGGGTGCGGGCCTTCTTCCCCGTCCCACAGCACCGTTACGCCGGGAAGCGAAAGCCCCGGCACACTGGAAGCAGTGGGAGGGGTGGCAGCCAGAACTTCCATCCATAATGGCAAAGAGACGTCCAACCCGTTAGGCAGGAGGGTGGGCTAAACTTCAAACATGGCAGCCACGGCCTCTCTGCCCGGCTCTACAGACCCCACAAAGCGCGGGACCCAGGGCAGTTGCCCTGATTCAACCCCCACAGGGATGGCCCTGCCCTCAGCACCCTCAGATGCATCATGTGTGGTCCCATGGACATGTACAAGTCCAGCTTTTCTAAATAGTCCCTAACTTGTTCTTTCATCACTGTTGGCTGCTCACCTCCCTCCCCAAGCTTTGCTGCTGGGTGCAGTAGCCTGGGAGCTGACCTTGCCTGTGAAGACTGGAGGTGAAAAGGGCATTGAGTACTTCAGACGTTTCCACAAGGTGTCACCAATTCCTTCAATCTATCCTTAACCGTTATGTTTTCTAGACCTCTAATCATTTTTGTTGCTCTCCTCAGGGATCTTTCCAATAATTCTTGAAACGCAGTGCCCAAAACAAGACGCAGTATTCCAGGTGAGGTCTCCCCAGTGTTGAGGAAAGTGGATGGGGTCACTTTGTGACTTCCATACTACATTCTTGTTAATATATCACTGAATGCTATTAACTTTTTTTGCAGCAATATTACATTAACTCATTTAGCTTGTGATTCAATATAACCCTCAGGATCTTTTTCATGGTACTGGAGCCTTGCTAGTCATTCTCCATTTTGTATTGGTACATTTGATTGTTCCTTCCCAAGCATAGCATTCTGCACTTCTCTTTATTAAATGTAATCTGACTTACTTCAGAGCTTTTATCAAGGTCATTTTGAATGCTCATCCTGTCCTCCAAGTGTCTGCTCCCTCAGCCCAGCTTGGTGTCTCCTGCAAATTTATCTTGTGGCTATTGAAAGACATGGCAAAGATCCATCCAAGATGGAGAATTTCCAGGAAAAAAGTTTAAACTGTAGCACATCCTGTTATGATGCAGGTGTCAGCTCTAAGGCTGAAGTCTTACAACAAAGGATTCTAACCTTGTTATCCACAAAATAGAAGTGAACGATAATAAAAAAGAAAAATGAAAGCGAGACTGGTAAAGTCTGGTACAGCACTAAGCTTGCACAGTGGAAACCCCATATCTTCATGGGAGCAATAAAAATTTCTTCTTGTACTCCTTTACCTACCAAATGATAGGTGCTCCTTGCTTTTCCATACTGACTTCCTGATGATTAAATATCACACCTCAAAATTTCCTGCCTTTGGTTCCTCCCAACTTCTAAAGAAGTTATAGAAATTAGAAAAAAGGAAAAAAAAAGTTCTTACACAGGCCTATTGTTAGCAGTAAATGCTGTTCTCAGCCTCCTAGTTAACCTGCAATTATTCTTCCCAGTAAAACTTGTCATTTTTATCCTATATTTTCTTGTCTAATTGTATGTGCAGCTGCCGCCCAGATGAACGCACAAGCCTCTGATATATTTGCTAGCTTGCAGTTAGCAGGTCTGAGCCACTGGAATGATTTTGTATGAAGGCCTCCATGCAAACGGAAGCAGTGTTGTATTTAATATTTTTACTTGTCCTGACTCTGCAAGACCAGAACTTCATCCTTCTCCCAAATAAATCACAAGAAGTAGGTTTGAAAATGTAAAGACATTTAAGACACTGAATAGCTTACATATTGCTGTCCCAGAAAATATAGCATGCAGTAAGGCTCCAACTGACATGGTTTTTTTCAGTTACAAAAAGGAAACAAATGTGTCACTTAATATTTTGGATAATTATAACTTGACCTGGTGACGGGGTCTGGCAACCTACAGCCTGCAAAGCCACTAGATCAAGCATGGAGCCAAGGGGCTTCAGATCCATGATGTGTAC